AGTATTCCGTACGCACGAGGGTGCGGTACGCGTACGCGGCGATGACAGTATACTATTCCGTAGGACGAAAAATTGAATACTATACATCGGGGAATTGTATTTTTGTCTGAACTTTTGCCTTGCATTTTTTAATAAATGTTGATTCTATTTACCCTTGCTAACTGGAAACCGAGACTCGTCCCGCACGGTAGTGATCCGCGAACAGACGGGAAATCAATCGAGATCCAGTCGGTGTACCAGGTCCTAATGTTAATTTGAAATGTATACAATCCGGAACTTATGCCCTTGTCGTGGCCGTTCACCTGGGTTGTTTGCATCTGGGACTGATTTAGGCCATTACTAGGCGCTTTTTGCTGTGATAAGTGTTGAAGAGCCGCAAATATATATACTAACCCAGCGCAGCGCGATTAGATGGGGGCCAACATCCGGCCCGTGCCCCCTTTTGAAACCGGAAAAAAAAATTTTAAAAAATTACATTTAAAAAAATTACAAAATTACAAAATTCAGCAAATTAATTTTTTTCTTCCAATTTCAATGTTGTTAAATAAGGTTACAAGATGAGTTTCCAGTTGTGCTGACCTCTTTTCATGTTTACATAAACTATTCAAATGTTGTCGTCATCTTGCTGAATTGTCCTGCCAAAGAAACCATCTCAGAGCTCATTACAAGAATTTGATTTTAGTACATTGTTAGCAGATTATATTTCTGGCCGCCAACTGTTATTATGTCATACATGCTATGCTAACCGACTGTTTCATTAGGAGAAAAAGTACTTATTTTATTTGCGTCTTCTGTATATGACAATACAGCACCCATACTCATACTAATACGAAACAATTCTTTCAAGTGTTGAAATATATTCGAGTTATCACAAGATTTTTTTTTTGAATCTGCTCATATCTTTTCTCCTAGCCTGCAATAGTTATTTGACGTATGTGAATGTGCTTCTGTAATACACATTGATCCATGTCAGAAATTATTAAGGTTTAAAACATTTAGTGCTAATGTAATTTCTCGGTACATTTGACCGGTCCTTAGCTGCCCCCCCCCCGCCCATACCGAAAGGCTGGTCACTCGCCAGCTGATCAAATTTAACACATAAATGATTGCTCCAATATGAGTTAAAATACCTCTACAGTATGCAACAGATTGCCCCCATTTTAGCCTAAAAAGTGCAAAAGCTCCCCCCAGGGGCGTGTACAGGGGGGTCCAGGGCCGGTCCGCGCCCCCCCTGCTCGCGCACAGAAAACGCCATCTGCAGGGTGGTCTATTTCAAAAATTTCTGGGGGAGGCCCCCCAGACCCCCCCTTCTGCGTGCTCCTAAGTATGGGTTACGGTCTAGACCCCGCCTTGTCCAATTCCTGTACACGCCCCTGGCCCCCTCACTGCTTGCGTTCGCTGTCGGGCTTCGTCGCTCCAGCTCTCTACGCCGTATCATCCCCCACATTTTCACTACATGATTGCTCATCTTGGTTGCCCCCTCTTTTTGAAATTCTTGGATCCGCCCTGCGCTACTACCGGTAGTAGCATCACGACAACCGCACAAGCAGGACAGGAAGGCAAATCAATTCAACAGCAGATTTGCCGACTTCTGGGCATAAAGTCTGTACTTTTCTTCAATTATTTCCTCTAACAAGCATGACAATTAAGGGTGTATTTATTGCTCACCTAAAAATAGTGTGCATGAATAAAGGTTAATAAATGTTGTGTATTGCGACTATTGTTACTGTTTGCTTATGTATTATTCGGTGCTGGCTGCAGTTAAATAGTATTCCAGATGCCAGCCCAAAATTATGGAGTATTCCAGATGCCACTGAAAATTAGAGAAGTATTTCGGATGCCAAAGGGGGGGCATGACCCCCTATATTATCTTACTCCTGATGATATCATATATGTACGGCGATGACGCCGACGTCGATGACCATGCGACGGCTGCTGCTGCTGATGATCATCATCATCAATAACGGTCATAATCGATACGTTAATTGATTATGACAATCGAACAATTCAGATGGGAAAATAGCATTACACGTACACACATTTATGAATTTTCAATTTTCATGCGTATATATATACACACTCATAGGTATAGGTAAGATGGAGCATGCACCCTACCTTCCCGAGCGTTCGGGGCTCTTCTGGGCTGGATTCCTTTGACTCCCCGCCCATCTTGTTTTGCAGTACATCCAAAAAAGACTGTATCTCAAAGCCAGACAACATTTCTCAAGTGCTTTACTCGCGTCCGCAATGGAAACTCGAATCTTCTTCGGCCAAGTGGGTAAAACTCGTCACACAGTCATGCAGACGCTGAAATCACTATCAATCCTCCGTCAAGTTACATTAAGTGGGCCTAATGTACCTGCGCCACTGACGTCGATTGGGATTGCTACCCCTTCGAGTACTGTGCCGTACGTACGGTGTGCATACGCGTGCTTTATAATCACAGGTTTCATCACAGAATCTTGACCGTCCACGTTATCTCGATTACCATCACAGCACGCGGAGGGAAAAGCAAGTATATTAGACTCTAATTATTATGCGAAACCACACAAAATAACCAGTTACACGTGGAAGCAGTAGTGGGCGTATGAGTGCGAATACGTAGCCACCAGCCAAACGCGAAGACGAACGTTCGCTATAAAATCGATAGGACGAATCGAGCGCGTGAAAATATAGACGGGATCCTGCATTGCCGAACTGTATCTGGACACGCAATGGCTTTGCTTTGGGGGCGTATGCGCCGACGAATGCGCCGACTGCGTCGACGGGTGGGAATCTAATTTATTGATTAGAAACCTACATCACTTGATGTCGCTACGGGTGAAGGAAAGCTTCAGCGCGTAACGTCGTAAAGTCAATGTGTACAACTTGATTTGTTGATTGCTGGCATAGAATCGTTGGCATTGTATCTTGTATATCTTGTATCTTGTATCTTGTATATCTTAGCACCCTCTCTTGTATTTCACAAGGCACCCGAAAATGATGGCATGAAAGGGCACAGACATTTACAACATAACGATATGACGAATAAGCGCGTGGACATACACGGTCTTCCACTACAGTACGTGCGCCTTCTGTATGCTCGTCGCAAAAATGGTAGACCATCAGCTGTGGGGTGCCTACGTCTCGACAAAAGGTTAGCAACGCTATCCTATAGTAATGTATTACCTAGTATTATAAAATAATTCAAACACAATCTAAACATGCAATCAAGGGTTGTTTCGATGCAATGTATAAAAATAATCATAACAGTTTAGTGGCATTTTATTAGTTTATCACACGATAGATGGCGTGTCGTTACGTTAGCAATGGCGGGAGAAAAGCGAAGAACTTGTGTTGAAAATGATATATCAGCTGGAACCAGAGTCTTGCTTCTAGATATTGAAGGAACAACCTCTTCTATAAGTTTTGTGAAAGTACGCAGGTGACTGTTAGTGTGTAGGAATGTGGATGTCGATGTCATATTCAAAATCCGAAACAGCCACAGTGCACACTGGCCACTGCCACTGCACCACGGCACGGGCACGGCATAAATCCGGCATTATTAATTATTAATAATAATATATTATATTTATAATACACATTACACACCGCTGGGCTCACTCTCAGACAGACAGTGAGATACTGTTGAGTGCAACTACACAGAAGCACCTACACTACAGGGACTGTCAGTGTCACTGTCAGAGTGTCAGTACACCTACAAACATAGCCACAAGTTCCCTTCTCGCTTAACAGTAATAAAACTAATAGTAATATTAATAACACTACGTTGGGTGTTAACTTGTTACTATGTTACTTAACTGTACGTCCTACGCCGTGTAACAGTCGGAGAGCCTGGTCGGTTTACTGCAAACACATAGTGAGCGCTCCGCGATTTTTAGTAACCTCTAGAGTCTATATAGTTTATTAATACTATATTACTAATAGTATTATCTATAATTCGACTGGTAGCCACAAATTTTCTAAACATGCATTTCCTATGAAAAAATTATAGTGTGTGAAAATGAAAAAAATAGCGAAAAAAGTATGTACAGCTCAGAATAATTTAAATTTTACAGGCCGGGCTCACCTCTTCATTATAAGAGTGATTTCGCAACTTTGATATCAATAATGATAATGGATTGAGATAACCTTACCCAACCCTAACATAACCTCACCTAAATGAATTAACACAAACTAATATTGACATGACATAATCTATATAGGTAATTATTATATATACATATATTATATTTATACTACTAATGATCCATTAAAGTTGGGAACACTCCTAATGGAGTATCACCCTATCATGGCTTTGGGTTGACTGTATTGCATGTGCGCATAAGCCTTCACTATACTCTATAGTATTACCTGGACATCATCAATTCTAGGATGATAGGTAGCAAAAATCCACATGGGGCCATGATGAAGCCATCGATTTTTTTTTAAGACGAGCAGAGGGCTGGAACAGTGACAAATTAGCTATTATCAGTGCTACATGCAATGATACAATTTAAACAATATAATATTATATATTGGAAATTAAAAAATAAGGGTGTTAAACAAAATTATTAGGAATAATTCACATTTGCTATTTAGTAGTTAGCAACAGTGAGTAAAAATGTGAACACGGTGGATGATCGTTAGATTGTAAATAGCAACTAATTAAGTACCTATATTCACCAATATCCAACATATTCAGAAATACAAGTTTTTAATATGAATGCACTAAAGCAGTGGTTTCGAATCCAACCTTTTCACCACCAAGGACCCCTTTTATTTAAATTAAGTTTCCCACAGGCCCCAGGTTTTTATGGGTATTATTTTTAGGCTTTAGTATTTAATGTTCATAGAATGTTTTCTCGATGGAAGCATTCTGTTAGGCTATTTTCTAGCTGAAATATCTACCAAATCTAACAAATGTTGCGATACTGAGTTGATAATATTACAGCCAAGAATTAACGAAACATGAAATTTTGAAAGTTCATCTTTATCAGCCTTGACCAGTAAATATACATGTCACACTGGAGCCTCTTGAAATTTTTAACTTAGCTCATGGACTCCAGTACTAACTTTGCGGACCCCCAGGGGTCCAGGTTGGGAACCACTGCACTAAAGTGTATACTAGCTTCAAATGCTTGTTGATGTTCATTACACTGGATATAGTGACAAGATTGTGCATCTGCATGTGACTAGCTGTGTAGCTATATGTAGTTGAGGTATCATGCGCTAGTTAGCCCCAGCACACTATGCCATGTTGACGTTTTTGCTGATAGTTTACTGCCAGTGTTTTAGGGCCTCCGTGGATCTTTTGCATCCCCATTAGGCCAAAACAAAATATAGGTGTGGTTACCGTTTCCCGATCGACCCTATTTATTCCCAGCGACCCTAAACATTTAATTGTCAATTTTCTTTACCGTAAAAAAAAATAAAATATGAATTGGACAGTTCCTGCTTCAAAAGGCACAACGCACATCCTTCGGACATGGTTCGTAAATAAAATGTTTCAATAAAATTAAATGATTTCCCTACCTACCTACCCTATTTTTGTTCGGCATGAAACGGTAACCACACCTATATTTTGTTTTGGCCTTACTGCACTGAGACGGTCCTGCTGTTTTATATGGTCATCCGAGCCATTCTATATTCAGCCCTCAGTGTTGAGAGTCAAGTTTTGACACCATGGTAAACGTCAAGGCCTTATACAGGGTTTCTTCTGAGGGAAAATTAGACAAAGGCGCTAATGCCCAGTTTGGGGAAAAAACGTACATGATGAATTCAAAGGCGTGCAGTAGGCACGAATGTGGATTCTGCAGGCAGATGCGGGGGAGAGAGGTAGAGGGGCTCTGGGGGTCTCCCCTAGCAAAATTTAAAATATTTGAATGTCTTAGACTGCATTTGATGCACCCCGAAAATAAAATTTCACCTTTTCGTTTAAATCTTACTCTGTTAGCAGACCTACCAAATCTCACGCTGCGCATTTCGCGGGAGACTCACGCATCTGGACCCATTCTCCCTCACTTCCGCATGCCCTACGCATTCACGCAAAAGAAAAAAAAGAAAAAAAGCAGCCCGCGTCACCCCTGTTACCCACGTCCGTGGCTGTGCACATCGTGGCTCATGCTTGCTGGCTGGGCGGCATTGATTGAAGTACGGGGGGGGGGGGGGGGCGAATGCACTGATTGTTACAGTTGCGTGGGCGTGGTTATTGCTGTATATGTAGGGGTGGGCACCGCGCTGGTATGAGGGAGTGACAGCAAAACTCCCGGAATCGAGGGAAAAGCTGCAATCGGGAATGACACAGGAGTGTGCCGGCACGCAAAAAGAAACGTTGCTGTGAATTTCATTACGATTTTCCATGTATATATATAGTCAGAAGCACGTGGTGATCTATTTATTTTTGGATTGACACTATTTTGACAACGGCGGGTAAATACAGGATCATTTCCATAACAGCGTTGTTAAATTTGACAACGGCGGTGTGCTGCAGTGCCTCCTATGTAGAAGAAACCCTGTTATATATGCATGAACTTGACTGTTTGAAGTGAAAGATGGGCATGCTAATCATTGAAGAACCATTGTGCATGTTTGTCTGTAGTGTGGCGTACTTTACTTGGCTATAAGTTTAACTAAATATGAGTGTAGTCACTGTGTGTATGATTAATAATATCAGGAGTGTCATAATATAGATCATCAGGAGTGTCGTAATATAAAATATCTAACTAGTGAAATGTAAAAATATGTAATATATGAAATGTGTAGCGAAAGAAATCCAAAAACAACACCATGCAATGTCATTTGAAGATACTTCAACACTTTTCAATAAGGTGAGATTGATGATAATTTTTTGGAACATTCTGATTAGTATTAATACCAACTTAATTTTCTCATGTGCCTTTTAGGATCACATGTTCTCATATATCAAGGAAAATGTGGAACAATACTTGAAAACTCATTGGAATGAGGAGGAATGTCGATGTGATGTTGAGGAACTGCGACAGCTGGTATATTACTGTTAAAATCAAGTAGTACTTTATTCGGATAAAAAGCTTTTAAATAAGTAAATAGTAACTAATAGTAAAGCAAAATTTTTGTTGTTGATAATATGTAATGTGGGTTCATCGAGCATAGAATTATATATTGTCAATTCTTTTATCTATAATTAGTCCTTGTCAAGGCAGCTTGGGCTGATACGGTTGCAACTGGGTTTTAAGACTCGTAACTGTATATACAAAGTGAGTATCTGCATGTCGTTTTAATGGTATAAATTTGTTGTCAACATTTTAGGCAGACACCGATCTAGAAGAAAAGGTGGAAGGTGCTGTTAAAATTCCACTGCTGGAAGATGAATTAGAGGAAACTGTCAGGAAGGCAGTGGTTGCTAACGTTCTGTGGCAGATGAGTCTGGACCGTAAGACGACGGCATTGAAACAGCATCAGGGCCACATGTGGAGAGCTGCGTTTAAGACGGGAATACTAAAGGGCCAGTAAGCATACTCTAAGATTTACTATAGATTGGGTGGCATTACACATCGAATGGATTTTATATGTTGTAGTACATCATCTACCGTATAGATATACTGTATTTGAGTCCGGGCTGTTTAAAGAAGTGTCAGTATATATTATTCATATACTGCAGTGAGATACTATAAACATGTTTTAAAACCTCATTATGATGCATGCATAAGTTGTTTTGGGCATCCTGCTACAGCATTTATGACGATGTTGTACCCGTGCTGGAGGCGTGGAAGGAGAAGGGATGCAGTGTGTACATCTACTCCTCCGGTAGCGTGGATGCACAGAAGCTGCTATTTGGATATTCAGAGAAGGGCGACCTATTACATGTGAGCTCTCAGTTTGTCTTGGAATGCGACTAGTGTCATGACAATGAGTGGCACTTGTGCTATCAGTCACTACTTTCAATTCTGGCCAATTGGTTCTGCGTTTCGAATGAATATACTATAAGAGTATTGAAAGAATATAATCTTACATAGGAAACATTTATTATTATTAATTGTTCTCAAGTTGTATAGTAAGGCTGAGAGGGTCTATGTCCCCCAGGGTACTGCCGGAACATACCCTGGTACTATATAATATGCCGGACCGTACCTCGCCTACTCCACTAACGAGTCTAGGTAGTCGCCTACGCCTACTCCCTAACCCTATCCCTAACCCTAACCATATCAAATAGTTACCAGGGTACATCCGGAACGTACCCAGGGTACGTTCCAGCAGTAACCGGAGGGACATAGACCCTATAAGCTATAGTAAGTAATGCAGGGTGCGAAATTAACGCGAGTCCGGAGTCAAATACTCCCTGATTTGACATATGCAGGAGTCCGTGTGATTCCCTGAAAATTCTGCTATACTAACTAGTTCGTTCCAGAGCACGGCCTCGCGGAATTACCGTATTTTTTTAGCAAATGTCCCAAGGAAATTTGGCAGACGTGCACCGCAAATGTCCTTTTGTTAATATCTTTAGTTTTGAACTTCAGACTGAGGACTCCCTCATATTGCTGCGGACTCCCTCTTTTTGAGGGTAGGGTGTCCAGTCCGTTGGACTCGCTTGTTCAAAAGTTAATTTCTACCCCTGTAATGGGTTCACTAATACCTTGTACTCGAGCAGTTCTCCTACACTGTGGTCACATAATAAACCTCATGCATCAATCTTAATATTTCCAGCTATTTGCAGGACATTTCGACACAAAGGTTGGCATGAAAATGGAGACGGAAAGTTATAGGAATATAGCGAAGGAGTGCGAGTGCAAACCAGAAGAAATGATCTTCTTAACCGATGTTGTTAAAGGTATGCACAACTTGGAACACTATCCCTGCGTTTTAGAATAATTATAAGTTGGGTCAAGAATACGTTATTGTAATTAGGTCTCAGTGACATACCTAGTTTAGATTTGATATTCATCATATACTAAGTAGGTTGGCAATCTGCTTGATTATGACAAGCTTTAATTATATTTATTATTTTTATTAGGTTCATTAGTGTAGAATCAACTCATTAAAATTCCCAATATTCCCCAAAATTCTTTGAAAACTATGTGGGAGCTAACCGTGTTTGAGTGTGAACTCGTCCTTATCCGGCATTGCAGAGGCACAAGCTGCCAAGCAGGCAGGAATGAAAGTGGCGCTGGTAGAGCGGCCTGGAAATGCACCACTTACACAGGAGGACAGGGCGGATTTCGATGTTATCCAGTCGTTCAAAAACATCGGTGTAGAGGTGCAGCACCCTTGCAATAATGAGGCAGGTAACTCTGAGGCAAAAGTTGCCAGACTGAGTGAGAGTGGTGATACAGACCATTCCATTGCAAACATATTGAATAAAGAGTGAACTATCAAACATTTTGACATTATCATTTACTAAGAGCCGAGAGGGAGCATTTACTTCAGTGGTTCTTAACCTTTTTCGAGTCATGGACCCCTTTGAGAATCTGGTGAAAGCTACGGACCCCTCCCCAGAAAAATGCACATAAGCACATGAACACAAAATTTGCATACAATGGGGTTCACGGACCCCCTACAGCCCATCCACGGGCCGCAAAGGGGTCCATGGACCACAGGTTAAGAACCCCTGGTTTAAGCATTCAAACTGCCTCTAGGTTAAAATTATCTTTAGACCATCAAAGCCTCAGATCATGAATTTTCATATTCTTACACAATTGTTTTTGCTAGTATTTACTAATCAATTCACAACGGGATAGACAGCACAAATTTGCTGTAAAACCAGTAGCTAATAGAATAGGAGTCATTATATATATGTAAATTTGCATTGTAGTAGGCCTCAAGCAGTTTTTCTACCTAAATCGCTTATGTGTGCAATACCATGCGTATACTGTACCCCAGTGTCCTGTTTGCAAAAGTTCCTCGGTCATATTCTAACTTTTCTCGCCCTCTGGATTTAACTCAATGATTTTCTAGTGATTTTTGATGTTGTCTTCTTCAGGCTGTGCCTAATCCATAGATCTACACTTTCTCTGCAGAATCTATGGGACTGTGCATTCTTGTCCTGTTCTCACACACAGTTCCTGGTGTATTTTTATGGTTTTGTCAGCCACTTTGATGCGTAGGATTTGTATAAGGCAGCTGTAGAAGAATGTGTTATTTGCGTTTTTGTTCAATCCCCCCATGTCTCTACACCATACAGTACAGTAAAACTCGCATAAGACAACACTTTTGGGACCAGCATATTTGTGGCAACTTACGAAAATGACGACATACGCGTAAGTCATCATTTTGTCGACTTATATGTAAGTCGCCCAAATGACGACTTAAGCGGGTATATCGTCATTTTGACGATTTACAAACCGTATTAAACTCAGTTGCGCGATCTACAGGCGATCGTCGGTTCGACCTAATGATGACGACTTACAGATGGGAAATTACTGTTGTTTGTATTACATGGGACCTGTCTGAGGGCAACGACATGTACATATAATGACGACTTATAAATGACGACTTATAAATGACGACTTAGGCAGGGCTATTCCAATGGATTTACTATGAGAGAAAATCGGGACTTTGACTTCCGTGACGACTTGTGCGAATTAACGAGTTCGACGATGACGACTTATGCGAGTTTTTCTGTAGTACAATAGTGACATTATGTTTGAAGATTGTGATATTTGTTTTGGTCCATATTTTTGTGGAGCTGCAAATATTTCGCAGTGTAATTGTCTCCCACAATCCTTTCCAATACAATTTCCTGGCACATGACATAATCCACCTGTCATGATTGTGGAATTTACTAAGGTGTTCCTCCTTGGAGACCTTGAAAATAAGTCATCCTCTTCAATAGGTATGAATATATTCCTCCAGCATTTTTTTGAATAAATTGTAGTACTTTGTTTGGCAGCATTGCATCTGCCTGATTTATTTCTGCTGGAACCATCTGAACTTTTTGTTTTACACCTCTTTCATGGCTTTCATGATTTCATTTCTAATGGGCTTATGGCAGTATTGTATTTTTCTGTGAAGAGGTGGTGTAGTGGCATCTTCTTCTGGCGGTGGATGACTTAGCAGTTCTCTTCAGTGATAGGCTCGCCATTTCCATTGCTGTTCAACGATACTGACTGCCTCTTCAAAACATTTTCATTTTGATTGCTAGTTTCCTTGTTTGGCATTGTTTCTTCATATTCTTGTGTGGATACTTGTTTTTTCTTGCCTGGCTAATTTCTCCACGAAAAAGGCACTTGGCCTTTCCAGGGCATTTCATGTACTGCTATTGAGCTTTTACCTGTTCTTCTGGTTCGACTGTTATTCATTGTGGCGTTGCTTTCCTTCCTCTCCTGTATCTTGTGTAGTCTAGCCAGCATTCAGTCTTTATGTTGAGTCGTTTTCCTGCCTCGTGTGTCCTTGCATGTCTGTTTAATTACTTTTGGTGATGCCACATTTATTCCATCTTCGTTCGGAAGCATATCTCTTGAAGCACCTGGACTCTAGCTTAGTGGTATATCCAAAACTGTTTTCTTAGTGGCTGTACCTCAGTAGATCGGTGTTATGGTGTGTTCTTGTTCCTCTGAGTGTTGTACAATATGATAGCCAAAGCTTGAAAGTAGCCAGTATCAGGTGGTAATTACCTGGCATACTCATCTTGCAAGGATCGTTTGAACCTAAATCTGATGCAAACTGGAGAAATATGGAACAGAAGCAGTATGATTTTCCTTAGGTGTATAGAAACTGTTGTTAGAAATTTAGGGTGTGTAGATACTGTGATCACAAAAGAATGTGACTGTGTAGTGTTGCAATTGGAGGCTAGATGTAAAATACATGTATACTCATTGTATTGTGTACGTATTTATAAGGATGAAAATGGTCACTTCATATAAAAATGGGTACTGTGGAATACAGAGATATTTGGTTCATTTAATCTCGTTTACAATTTCCTTTATCAACATCACACGAATCGAGTCACATTCCCAAGTTTTCAGCCGGCTGTACATATTGAATAACTATCAAAACCATGGCAATAACGAACAATGTATAATAGCAACAACCACATTTATTCCAGCCCCCAGAACATAGAGATGAATACATGCTCATGGCACACAGCCTGCTGTCATCTCATCTCATACAAATATACAGAACTGCAGCAGACAGACATATACGCATTGAAAACAACTAGAACATCATTTCTCTGCAACGCGTAGCATGATGACGACTAGCGATGGACGAAATTGCTGATTGACGGCCTCACACGCACAAACACACATGCATGCGCACGCACACACATACACACGCATGCGCACGCACGCACACACGCACACACATACACACGCATGCGCACGCACGCACGCACGCACACACATACACACGCATGCGCACGCACATACACCCTCTCACTCCGACCTCACCATCCCTCCCTTTTGATTTCGCTCACATGAAAGTGCTCCTACCTTGATAACTCCATGATATTCTGATTGATACAACCAAGGGTAAGAAGGTAGATGCCCAGGTTATGCCATGGTGTGCACAGTACCTCAAGGCAACCACTATTTTACAGTAATGGTGTTGACAGTACAGCTAGCATTTGTAGTCCTCAGTCACATATAGAAAACGTCCAGTCACAGTACATGTTATGATATTATGCCGATACCATGAGGATTTAATCTAGAACTAAACGAGGGAACTGGCTTATATATGGATCTCACTAAACACTCGTGTGTATTTTTAACCAATTTTAAACTTCACGTCTTAAAGTTGGGGAGCATTTAAAGGTGGGGGAAAAAATAAAATGGTGCACAACGTATCTGGCGTGTTTTTCTATATTACAGTAAGTAAATCACTTGCACATAAAGAATGTAGAAAAATTCAATTACTTCTTACTTTAACCTGCCCCACGTTTTGCAGTGAATATAACACGAGTGTTTGCACGTATATGCAAGCTTGAGTGTGTTGTTGCGAATTCATCGACAAAGCATCAGTAAAGTATTGATCACACTCAACACCCGACAAAGCTCAAACGAATGTACAAACTCCTTATTGATACCAACTGTACGAGCAAAATATAAAGTACAGAGCTGCTATTCATATATATCAAAGGAAATCCTTGGGTCCGAGTCGCTCTGTGCTGACTGCCCTCTGTAGGCCACCATAATTGTTGAGCTCCATCTGGTGGACGAAATTTAAAATGGATGAAAAATAGGATTATTAAAAATCGAAAAGCATTGGTATAGTGTTGGTTAAAGCAACTGCACAAAGCAATTGTAATATTCGCTCACACTCTTGCTTGTAAACATCTATCCCTTAGTGGAATCAATGTTCTGCCATGTGGCAGGTGGTCCTTTATATGATGAATAGCTGTGTTGCACTCACCTCCTCTCCTTGGCCAGTGTTAAGGACTGACAGTGAACTTGCCCTTTTCATGCTGCATTAATAACAATGTAAATCATAAGAATGAGCATATCGAAGTAGAAGATAAGAAATTGTAATATTGATTGTAAAATTGTTTACCCATTGTTAGAAAGACACTTGCATCGATTCATTCTAGGCTGGGTCAGCACAGTAGAGGATTTTATGGAGTTTACTGGTTTGACACAAGTATTGGCGAGTTTTGTTTGCACATTTTTGATCACAGGTTAACTCATTGGATTGTTTCAGGCAGGCTGGGTGTGTTGTGCATGCAGGTTGCATCTAAAGCTTTGTGGGAAGCATATCGAGGTGTTTCTACACAAACAGCAATCAGTGGTGGTTCGTTATTATGTATAAACACCAGTGGCCTACCAGCAAATATCGGTGCTTCTTTGGCACCAAAGTTGCTATTCGTGTTTCATGCACCCGTATCGTGAGTGTAAACTCTACTAAAGTACTAATAATTAATAATATCAGAAAAATGTGGAAGATGATTGGAGCTTAACGGAAATCTGTGTACATGCAAGTATAAATGGTGCAAGCTTGAATGTGAGAATACACAGAGGGTTGAGGGAGTTGCATCTAAGAGATTTTCCTATGGTGTCAAACAGTTCATGGACAGAGGCTAGGAAACTGACATAACATCAGGAGTGAATAATAATAATAATAATAGAATGATAATCTATTATTATTCACTCCTAATAACATGTCATGTCTATGCAGAGTACCTGCACACCACACACATGTACTACAGTTAAACACAGCACAAATACCAACCTCATCTGCGTTTCTAAATTACAGCTATTTACCTATATGTTACAAACATTCATACGAATTCTTTTACTAGTGCTTAATCCCTGAAAATCAAAAATCCTCTGCAGCAGTGCTCTACTATCAGAATAGTTACCAATTATTTACCTGGTGATAAAATGTTGCAAGAAAAGTATTGATATAATCATTTTGATCGGTTTTGCAAATTCAATGGAGTCTTTGCACACTGAAACTTTTACTGTTAATTTGCAGTGAATATCTCAAAAATCTACAACAAAAAACTCCTTTGCAATGTTAGTGTGGTAGGTAAGTTAAGCTAAACTAAAGCTAGGTCAAGCTTAACCATGTGGCTAGCTACAATGCACGAGAATGCTTCAGCATTCCCTCCAAAAGTAAGTTGTAAAAATAGTGACTAAAAAGGCTAGCAAAAACTATTAAAACACGCAAAAACTATTAAAAAAACGTATTATGTTTTAATTCTGATCTTTGTCCAGTAGACTGATGTACTTGAGGCCAGCGTTACGTTTTTTTGCGCCACAAAGACAACTCACAAGAAATACATGCAACGAACAGATGTAAAATGGTATGACACCAATATGGAATTCCATAGTCAAGTTTGAAGTCATTGCATCTACTGCGAGACAGTAAATGACTTGTCCCACTGTAGTGAAATGACGACAAAGAGTTCCAAGCTTTCAGAGTGGAATGTGCATGCTGGTGTTACCTCTATCACTCTAAAGGCAATAGAACATACAAACCTCTAGTGGACTAGACTTCTATTTATAGATCCCATCAAGGAAGAAGATAGGACTAAAGCTTACCATATTACTAAGACATGATACCAATTATTCCGAGTATCAGCGGTGCAATCCGTCTACGGGGCAATAAGGTAAGCTAGTAGTACAATCTTCTACCTAAACGGCTCTCTTCATCTGTCTTCCTATCGTGCAATGTGAATTACCTCCCGAAATCATCAGCACCAGTAGCGCCCCCTGCACCCATGCCCTTTAGCTTCTGCAGCAGTTTTGCGCTGCTGTGTCTGATGGAGGCACGCAGCTGTGAGAACGAACCGCTCCGCCACAGACGCTGCATAAAGAAATGCGCCATTTTGTAACACCATGTAGCAACATGAGACACTGCTGTACTGAGTTCCTTCATATAGAGGAACTTTACTTTGCTGGTACGACGACTCGAGTGCATGTAACGTCACGGGGCGAATTTTGCTGCATCCGTCCTCACATTCTTACAGCATTCTTGTCGGCACGCACATGTAGTGACACTGTAACTGAACGTTAGTGTCGTACTTAAATGTGCATGCCCCCTCCACCCCGTCACGCATAATGCATAGCGTCAAGAAAATCTTTAGATGCCACTTACTGCACTCCTATGAATTAACAGTGGGTCGGCTGTATACCCTAGCAGCTTCACCTAGTAACAAAGCTATGAGTGCTAATGTAGAGCAAACAGGTTCAAGATTACAGCTCGTCAGAAAAAGACACTGTAGAAGGATTTTGCTCCTTATTTCAAATTGATAGGTGAAAACATTTTGCAAAGATGTCACGAGAATTCACAACGGACATTCATGACAAAGAGAAATGTATATAGAAAATAGAGCTGGTAGGACCTAAGATATCTAATGAAAAGCAAACAATAACTGGTGCAAAAAGCTCAAAGTATTGTGACATTTAGACATCAGACTAAGGTAGGATAAGAAAAAGTACATATCAGCTATAGAAAAAGGAAAAATATAATGTAAGGGTATTTATTTTTTGAAAGTCAGCGTTTCAGCTTTTTTAGCTGATAGAATCAACTGCATATTACTCATACAGTTAAACAGAACTCAATAAATCAAAAAAATCAATCACTTAATTTCCAATTACCCAGTCATTAACAAAGGTCACAAAACAACCATATATAAAAGAATGGAAGCAACACAAATAAGCTGTACAGAATACCCTTGAGCATAGTATTGAAAATGTTAGGTTCAATAGTATTGCTGAGAGGGTCTATGTCCCCCAGGGTACTGCCAGAACGTACCCTGGTACTATCTAATATGTTGGACCGTACCTCACCTACTCCACTAACGAGTCTAGGGAGTCGCCTACGCCTACTCCCTAACCCTAACCATATCAGATAGTTACCTCAGGTACATATATGTCACCTACGCCTACGCCTACTCCCTAACCCTAACCATATCAGATAGTTACCAGGGTACGTTCTGGTATACCGGACCGTACCCAGGGTACGTTCTGGCAGTACCCTGGGGGACATAGACCCTATGAGGAATAGTATTGTACCAACTAGCATAACACTGTTTATCACGTTTTGCACTCATGCGAAGTAACAGCAGAAATGACTTGACAAGTAATTACTAGAAGACCACAAAGTCACGATACACGCTATTTTCATTGATACCAGTTCCCGTTAACCCCTGGTGCTATTACTACTGGTATCGAAGAAAAATTAACAATCGATTGCCTTCGATAAGAAAAGCAGGTGAACGTAACTTTGTTAACGGGGAGAAATTGCTATTTCATCAGTGCACTCGGTGACCAGTCATGGCCGGATGTACAAACATGGCAAGCCAGCATTTATACACTTACCAGCTATAAGTCGTCATCGAAATGTAACTTACTAATTTAGGTCTAATAAAAAGAGCTGCCTTGAGCAGCATTGATATCATGCCTATACCCACACATAAGACGCAATGCTTATTACAGACTACCCCACTGGAGTGCTTTCGTTACTATGTGGTTGAACATCAAACCATCTACAATTGGATATAGATTAATTAAAGTATCATTAACACTGTACAAGCAAGCAACATGTATATATATATATATATATGAAAGCCATGCACTGAGAAATAACAATACAAGTTATAATTACATACATTTTAAGAAGAAATGACACGAAAAGTAATACATATATTGTAACCTATACACAGAGACACACATGCGCACACAGACATGACAAGAGCAGCAATATACACAATAATCTTAAGGAAATGTGCATAGAAGCAAAGTGCGTAAGATATACGTGTCAAAACAATACTACAAATGAGACTTCCTTAAAGGTCACCAGAAATTGGCAAAGTTTATAGCTACTTCCCATTGGCAAATGCAGGTTTTAGTTTTCCAACAGAAAACAGTACAATTTCATTATCAGTTTATATTATATAAGTAAATTTTAAATAGGTTTATACTTGCGGCCACAACATCTTTGATGTTAGTTACGTTCATAATGGTTTTCAAGCAAAACATTCCACATATTATTAACAACAATAATTTTTTAAATAGGTTTTGCATATACACTATTAATAAACTAATCTAATTAACTATAAATGAAATCGGATTGAGTAGTTAACAGTTTAGAGGTATTGATGAAGTATTTGTGAGTTATGGTTAAAAATGCTGTGACACTACCATTATCCTGACAGTTAATGACTGCAACCACCTATGATAGATAGTAAGGTAATACTTGTTCACAAACCCACACTGCAAGAGATGTACTTCTATGTAGTAGACCTCTGCAGTAGGTGTCTTTCTATGTACTGCAAGCATTCTATCATAAACTAATGCAATGCATGAATAACTAGAGCACTCAGAGAGCGCAGACCTCCGCCAAGGCAGCTGAATTCTCTCACTGTGAAAAATTTGATTAATTAATTGGATCCGGATCACCACCAAAATGTAATCAATTCTAAGTTACCCCATTTCTGACCTATCCTTAAAATTTAATTAATTAATTAATTGGATCCGGATCACCACCAAAATGTAATCAATTCTAAGTTACCCCATTTCTGACCTATCCTTAAAATTTAATTAATTAATTTTAATTGGATCCGGATCACCACCAAAATCTCATCAATTCTAAGTTAGGCGATTTCTGACCTATCGTGAAAATTTTATGACAATCCGTCCATAACTTTTTCAGTTAGGCTGTACACAAACCCACAAACACTCGCCGAACAAACACACGCCGGTGAAAACATAACCTCCTGCCATCCCCTTGGCGGAGGTAACCAATAAAGTTCTGTGGTCTCCAAATTTCAGAGCAGATGCATATTGGCACAGCGAGGAGCACCTTTACCTCAGATAGTGTGATCTAGAGCATTGTCAAATATGGCCTTTAGCCGGGTTTGGCCAATGACCTAGCCTGACCATTAGGTCTGTTCAGACACCACCTAGCCTGACCATTAGGTCTGTTCAGACACCACCTAGCCTGACCATTAGGTCTGTTCAGACACCATCTAGCCTGAACACTAGGTTAGTTTAGCCAATGACCCAGTCCAGCTGCTATCTTAGTTTTAACTGTTGTGCCTGCCCAGCTGTTAGTTTGCTTCGCCTGTCAATCTGACCTAGCAGTTACAGAAATAACAATAGTTTTCAATTTGAAATATCCTTTCACTAACCCCCCCCCCACCACCACCAAGGGACACCCCACCCACCGACTAGTACCCGTCCGAGCGTGCACTAAAAGAGGTTGAGGAAACGCTTCTTCTGTTTCTGCTCGGTGGGTGTAGAGGACCGACTCTTGGGCGCAGAAGTGGCAGCAGCAGCAGCAGCAGCGGACTGCGATCCGGGCGTAACGGCAATACTCACGCCTTCTCCCTCGGCACCCGCGCGCTCATAGGCGACGCCGTCCGAGTCGCGTCGTCTGCCGTCAGCACGTCTCTTCGACTTGTCTGGGTCGGAGGCGAGCAGGTCAGCGACCTTCGTCGACCCCCGCACCATGTCGAGCGCCTAGAGAAGAAACGGTCACCGTACAATGACGACGCAGCACGCGCTTCGAGCGATATCTTCGCACAGGCCGCAGCGCCACCCTCCCCCGACGCTCCCACTAGCCACCACCCACTCTTCACGCCCATCATCTACCCCGTTCACTTCCTACGTGCCCACCGGTGAGTGCCACCGATTCTTCTCCCAATGACTGCGCAACGACACTCCGATCCAACGTCACCATCTAACGCTGTGTGAGCTTCGAATGGTTAGCTCAACTCCATAATCATTCAAGAGATGATGCAATACTCCCTAGTGTTGGAATTCGATATCTATAACACCCTGCTGCATTGCAAAGCGCACGTGTTGAGACCATTTCGTTAAACATTTGGAGACGACAGAACTTGTATGTTGAGAACATAAAAACAGGTAATTAAATAGTATGAATGTAGATGTGCAGCCTTACCTGTCTGTGCACAACTAATTAGCTGCTTGTTTGAATAATTAAATAATTAACTGTACTGTTGGCACTTATTTAACAGAGACTGACCACATATAGTCAGTCACTGAGCTCAATAGTGGCCAGTTTTGTCAATATCTCCACCCTTCCACCGCACCGTGGTTAGTACCATGCACTAGCCAATCGAGAAGTGGCAGGAACCAACAAAGAAGAGATGAAGTAGAAGAATACAGAGGTGTTAGTGATGTCCCACATCCTGTACACACGAAAACGGTATGTCGCATCAAAGGCTGCTCGTGCTCACATTATCATGCACAACTGTAACAGTAAAGAAATAATTGTCACGCTAAAGTAGCTTGCTGCTGGTGCTACACACAGTCCACAGCACAGTACACAGTGAGTAACTAGTCCACATGCCTCATCCTTTTTCAACACCCCACCTTAATCTTCATGACATTCCCATTGCTTCCCCATTAGCCCCGTTACATATGGACTAGTGTAACATCATCTGCACTGCACTGTAGTTGTACAGCTAGGAAATTTGGTGCCACATAGGCTGATGGAACATTACCAACTCACCTAGCAACAAATCTGTAGACAAACATCATACTGTCACTACTATTCCCATCAATATAGCTGCTGAATCTTCTCAATATACTCCATTCGAGTGAGCTGATTGATTTGCTTATCGCAGACATATATAAATAGGACAACAATAATGGCTTCTCGACTTTACCCTCATAATATGAATATTCACATGTGAATTTAGTAGGGCAGAAAAACTGGCAGCTCTAGTGTCATAATCTCTGCTTCACCTTTATTTGTTCGTCCCCGTTTCGCCTATTCTCCCTTCCTTCCTCAATCATTCTCCCCTTTCTGCCACCCTCTCCGTCTATTCCCCCCCCCACACACACACACTGCTTTCCGTTATTTGTTGCTACGTGTGTATGACCATCAGCCTGTGAGAGCATCAGCAGATAAGCAAGCAAGCAAGCATCTACCATGCAGCTAACAACGTATAGTTGTGTACAAAAGACTGCATGCACCCGACATGCAGCCCACTGATACATACTTGATAAAGGAACGAGCGCTGAGAGAGATCAGTATACTGCAAGTGTACATAAATAAGTTGTGAGTAATCTAAATATCTTGTGTATAAAAAATCACTCATTGAAGGTATCTTATAACACAGTATCGGTTTGCGTACCACACACACACAGCTAGGATTTTTAAGAAAAATGTTTCCTACTAGCTTTTAAATAGAAATTAGATTTAACTTTGAATATATACATATAAAAAAAACATTGCGCAGTACACATCCCATGTACAGTATTCTAAAAAGTTTTTGCCATCAATTTTTCTTATTATTCTTTTCTTTTTCCGTGCTTTCCTTCTATACGTAACATACGTAAACCGATTTGGGACAAATTGAACGAGTTGGGGCATTAATTACGATTACAGCACATTGTATCCACAATGACCAAAAGTTTAAATATAGAATTGGTCTTGCACAACCTCACAAATTCATAAAGGATAATTGGTATATAATATATTTCAAAAAGTTCTCCACCACTATAGGAAAATTAATGTACTCAACCATGTAAATAAAAAGCAGGACTTTGTTATTTGATTTAGTTATGCCAATTTGACTCAACATTAACAGAAAGCGTCAGTAGTCTATAGCTACTGGTTATGCCATTGTCCATAGTGCACACGAGTTAAAAGCGAAAAAGTCGTGTTTTATGCTATATGCATTAACAACATGCTTGCCATTGCTTTAGACTTTATACCCTAACCTACGCACAGCACTGCAAACTACAGATTAGTAATTAATGCCCCTGAAGTGACAGCTACTCTATATTTAGCCCAAGAAGATATAAGAAAGATCCTACTAATTATATATGTGTATATATTGCATACCACCAGACCACCTAGTTGTATTAATGTAGAAGCTGAGAAATCCACAAGCACAGCACACATTTTGCAAACACTAAATAAAGTCTTCCTACCTCTTTTTTCGACCGCATCGCAACATCTTCAAGAGTTTCTGCTGCCTCATACTTTCCCTGTCTCCTATAGAGGGCACTCAAGTTCTTGAGCGTAGTCATAACTGTCGGACTACAAGAGAGCATCATTTGACAAGTTGACACATTTTACAATGAGATGGTCCTAGCCTATGCAAGAAAGAATGAACAGCAAATGGCACAGTCAAAGGGTTCCTGTCTAACATAATTGTGAAAATAAGCAAAAAACTCATCAAACAACCGAATTTGGCAACAGCACATCGGCGCTCAACGCAGTCATGCCATGATTTGGTCCTTAGTATCCCAATAGATGGGTTCACAGCATAGCAGATGTAAGAATCTATGGTACTCTTGGCAGGTGTAATACAGCATACCTATCAACTTTTGCAGCTTTGTGCCAGCCCCCATATTCAGCATACGGTGCATTGTCTTTATTCTTGCCCTGTGTCAGTATACAATACAGAATGAGAGAGTCGTATGAAGGTGCAATCAGCAATGCATCGACTCATAACAAGAACAAGAGCCGCAGAGGGACTGGGCTGATCGGAGGTACATTTGACCTATCCTGCCGGGACATTCTTCTCACTCTGTTCCGATAGATGGCGTGCATACAGACTAGGTGCAGGGAATAGATGATCCGAACTAGTTGCTACCTTCGTTTAGCCCATGCTGTGATACTATCAGCCACCCACCTGCGAGGTAGGCCTATTTATAGTTGGCCTTAATCAAAAACAGACGTTTGCGTAAGTGCTATTAACATTTTATTCCTAACGTACAGAATATCATATAGAGAATGAAGTTCATATATGATTTAAGGCGCGTAAACGTTGTTCAAGTAAGTTTTGCATGCAGAATTTCACTGTGAAATTAAAGTCTTCCACGATCACACAAGTACCATCAAACACATTTCCCAGTCCTTTGTTAACAGTCAAACAAATCCATGTTTAACGCCTCTCTTGAGGGTCAAAAGGTTTATCAGACACTTACTCTTCGCACGTCAGTAAAAAGCACATTTCATGGTCCTTTCAAAAGTGTATAAAATGGTAGGTCAGCGCTGAACAAAAAAGTTTTCACTCTGTCCTTAGGCATGTCCTCAGAAAATGTCTGATATCTGACCTTTCCCCCACTGCCTTTGACCTGTGAACCTCCAATTTCGCACTGGTGATGGTTTCCTGCACATCACACTATACACCGAATATTAAGAGCATAGGTCAAGCAGCCATTTCAGATTTTGTGCGCGCATTGATTCTGGTATTTCCTCCTATACCTTAAGTTAAGGAAGAGAATATTCCCTATTCCCTCCGTTGACACATCTTGACTTTTGACCCTTGACCCCAAATTGATCATCCAGAGTCCTTCTCACGACTACCCCCCCCCCCCGACGTCCCAAATATCGTGACCGTACGTCGAGCGGTTAAGATTTGTGCCCAACTGTTGACGGACACACGGACACACGGACGAACGCTCATGCGATTCTAGAAGCTGCATCTGACTTCGTCAGGTGAGCTAAAAATACATGGTACATATCCCAGGTTAAAGTGTGCTGAACACAAGACAGAAGCCTGAGGCCCGATTTTAGAAACAAAACTAGTCGTAACATTAGTCCTAATCTAATTGTTATTCTCATAGACCGTAGACAGAAACATGTTAAAGTTACAAGTTATCAAACACAGTGTATACAGGGTTCAGTCTAAGAGAAAACATTAAAATTAAGACCAATCTTAAGAATAATTTTGTTTCTGACAAACTGGGCCTCGAGCATTAGATTCTGTAGGTAGGAATTTAAGCTTTGGGTAAGCACACTAGTTTGAGATAAGAATGTTAATGTAGTGATAACATTAACAAGCCTAAAAAGCCTCTGGATGGCATTTTCGAATTGGAATTTCCTTTTAGAGAATACTACAATAGTACTCGTGTTTAAAGTTTCTTTCCAAGGCTATGCTGCTATTTGCTTATAGTTAAATTAATCAAATCAAAACTATAATGGGTTTTACTGCCCTTTGTTACAAATTACTTGCATATGGGAACATTTTTAAGGGCTCATTTAAAGTGAAGTACAGAGAAACCGAAACTGCTTGGTTTACCTTGTTTTCTTCTCGTTCTTCGGCCACCTTCCAAATTGGTTTGTGTTCACCTGTTCAGTAAAGATGACACTGACATGTGAGGTAAGAAATAAAGAGATATAAACACCAGCACCCTGGCATTAATGCTTATGCAAGTTCTTCTCCCAAGAGAATTGTACGGCAGAATTATCAACACTGACCAAGTCTTACAACACGGGTATTAACAGTGACTAAGCCTTACAACAGGTTATCCAAAATTGATGCCGTATTAAAATAGTTATCAACACGGACAAAGCCTTACAATAGAATAATTAACACTGACCACGCCTTACCACAAAGTTAAGAACAAGTTAGTGGAATTGCACAATCACAGACAGGGTCACTCTCTGTCATGACCCTACTATCACTCACCATCAGATGATCCAAACTCCTTTTCATGTGCTCTTGTGAGCACCTCCTTGTACAGAACCTCAGCCTGCTTGTACTTGCCCTGCTTCAGGAAAGCTGAGGCCTAGAAGAGAAAACAATTCCAAGTACAGACTTCAACAACCACATTCTTTCTTGCCTCAATGTTTCCACAAAGATCTTAACTGTCACTAAAGATGTCCCAAGTTGGCAGTACATGCACTGGCAGGCAGGATCCAACCACATAAAAAATGGACATTAAAATTGGTAAATGCATTGAAACTTTAATAGTATTGTGTGGTACAAAGTATAGCATTTCATTCAAGTTTACAGCATAAGTTACCAAGTTGTTTTTCGTTTTCGCAACATTTGGATCATCTGGTCCCAGTTTTGTTTCATAGATCACTAGTGCCCTCTGGTAGTAGGTCTCCACCTATCAATAGAATGGTACGTCATTACTTTCTGGCAATTGATTACAAACTCTATTGTCGTTCTGCACATCTCTATTTAATCATTATTTTCAATGTGATGTCCCTGAACGACATACTGTCAACTATCAACTGGAGTCTGCATACCTCATCATATTTTCCCTGATTCTGGCACAGCAATGCCAAATTATTCAGTTGCTTTGCAACGTCTGGATGGTCTCTCCCTAGCACCTGCCAAACGACAATAAAAGTAATGAAAGTGTCAATGACACTGTAGCTCACCACAAAAAAGGACACAAATGAGTGAGTGAGAAGAAGTCAGTTTTAATTGAGCAACCATCGACGTACATTATAGAAACGAAGAGTATATATGGGAGAACTCCCATTATGTACTCTTGATAATTATGTGTAATTTTTTATGTGAAAATAAATGTTTGAGATGTGAAAGTCTGAGATGTGGGCGAGTGGTGGCGTTACACCTAAATGATCGCCATTTAACGTTTTTATAATATTCAGATTTAGGCACTGCCTAAAAGCGAAGCTCCCGATGTGTAACGTGTAAGATTGAGAGGATACGCTTATTCCACGTAGCTGCTATATACCACATGACAATGGTGTTTCCATGCCCATAACACAACTTTTGTCAAAGGTTAATTGGTTGCATGGAAGTGTTTACTTCGTAAGAGTTTTTCTAGGCGGTAGCACACGGTTGCCATCTGTATATCGCAATAATAATTTATAAACCAAAATGAATCACAATTTGTGACGGTAGATGGCGCTATACCCGCTTTGATGTTTCTTAGCGATGGCGTTCGAAACAAATAGGTTATGCTGCGTTCCGACATGTTTTGTAAAACTTTACTCTAATATAGACGTTTTATCGGCAGGGTGGAGAGGAAATACCAATTTTGCATTAAAGATATTGTCAATGAAATCTTGTAAAACGAACCAGACGAGTGTGACACCACAGCCTGTTATCTGCGTGTCTATAACATAATATGCTATATAATTGCCAAAACCTACCTAATTTGCATAAAAAAATATTAAATATCAAAACCACTGTAATACGTTTTGGGGCCAGCCCTTATTCATTCACCAAAAATGAGCAAAATCCGTTGAACCTGAACTGACTAATGGCAATTTCCATTTTTGCCAAAAAATTGCCGTAGCTCGAAAGTACGTCGACTGGCGTGCTCCAAAATAGGACGTTCAAACCTCTCCCATAGCAGTAACAACTATACGCAATTTCAAACATGTGGGTCAAACGGTTCCTGAGTTATCGTTGACCGTAGCCAAATGTTGACGGAAGGACGGACGGACGTACGACGGACGACGACCCATGGCAATAGCTTATCTTGACGATGTTAAGGTGAGCTAATAAACGTTGTGTGTAGGCTTATTATCACACATCACTAACTCCATGCATAGGATGTTAGAACTGAGCCTCCATAAGACCACAGCAGCATGGCAGAGTAAGTGTGTCACCTTTTCACGGATTAGAAGCGCTCTCTTACAGAGTGGCTCTGCCTCTTTGTACTTGCCACGCTTGCCATAGAGAACTGCCAGGTTGTTCAACGTTGCTGCCACCTGCAGGCAATAAAAATAATAAATTGAATAATAATGAACAGTCAAAATAAGTGAGCTGTGCAAATAAATGTAAGCTACACAATACATTACTCCTAACAAGAATCACGAGCAGAGTACCAACATGTAGTAATATGCTTATTACTTCAGTCCAGACACCACTTGTCGAACACATCCCAAGAAACAAAGAACCATTCAATTAGTACAACCAAATAGATGCTAAGGGTTTGGTTACTTGAAAAATTTGGTTCGTCTACTATGGGGCATAGTTGGGGCATAGTTGGGGCATAGTGGGAACTCACAGCAGGGTGGCTTTCTCCTAAAGTCTTCTCCCTAATTGACAGAGCATCATTTAGTAAATTGGCTGCTTCCTTGTATTTGTTCTGATCTCTGGAGAATATCAAAGAGAAGAAACTGATTATAAATACATACACTTTTCCTGGTAAACTTTTGATTAGGCTAAGCAATCCAACTTTAAGCAGTACTTTACCATACCATATCACTCTTCTTTCAAATCATACACATTCTGTACAGTGCAACAAGATTGGTTATCTGCTATTTCTCATGTACACTCATTACCAAAATGCTCATGTAACACAGAGGCTTGAGCCGATACCAAATACTAACATTATACCTTAGTCCATCATTATGGTTCAAGTTATGCTATGAATCACAAGGAATTACCTGTACACGAGTGCTAATATGTTGAGCATTGTGGCGACATCTGGGTGGTCATGCCCACTTGTTTTTTCTAGATCTTCCAATGCCTGCTTGCAGAGAGGCACAGCAACCTCATAGCGACCCTGGGTCAAATAAAATCTGGGTCAGAAACCTTCTGGTTAGCACAACGTGGCAGGTTATTAACTTTATTACTTAAAGGCATACTAGGCCCATTGATTATGCAATGTTGACGAATGCTAGAGTAACTGGCATCTTGTGTAGTTAATAAGTACATTACCTTACATTCAAACGCGTATTAGTTTCTCCAATATCACTGCTGGTTACTAAGAAATGTCTAATTGAAATCCGCAGTCCAAGAAATCAGTTGTTTACAGTTTCAAACCGCTGCCGGTAAAGCGGGTGTGATACAGATTTATAGTGCACCGGACATTTTCGCACGCATGCTCGGCCGTGCGCAATGCTATCATCAGTGATTTCGTAAACACGGACGCTCGTGATAAGGAACTTTTTGTCAGGGCTGTCCATGTGCGTCCATGATTAGTACGTGTGTTTTACTCCATTTCCATGTTTAGTCTGTAGCCGTTTTACCGGTTACACCGCTGACACCTCCATTTCATTAGGCGTCCAAAACATACCGGCCACACAAATGTTTACGTCATCGCTTGACTCTTGGATGACATTTACGGCACGTAAATGAATATCAACAACCAATTTCAAGTCTTGCTTGTAATGTAACCAGCAGTGATATTGGACAAACTAATACGCGTTTGGCTATAAGGTTATGTACTTATTAACTACACAAGGTGCCAGTTACTCTAGCATTCGTCAACAGTGCATAATCAATGGGCCTAGCATGCCTTTAACTGATAAGGAGGCTCCCAACCACTTTCCAAAATTCATTATGCAATCTATAGTTAGCAGATAGATAGTTTAGATAAACTAGAAATAACAGGTATCGCCAACTACATGTATCCCCCGCGATCTAGTATGAATGAAATATCTCCGTAAGGACGTACAAGGTAGGCAAAGTGAAATAAGTCACAAAGACAAAGGTTTGTTACACAACTCATCTGCCTGAGATGTGCAAGTATGTGAAATTTGGTTACCCTAGGGGTTTTGGTACGCGACACACCTTCTCCCCAAGATGTGTAATTATACGAAGTTTGCTCGCGCTAGGTCAATTAGGGGCCGAGTTATAGAGCGGAAGGGAAATATGATCAAGGTCAATGTCACGGTCAAATAAAGGTCGCGGTGACCTGGTTTTGGTACGCGACACATTTTCTCCCCAAGATGTGTAAGTATACCAAGTTTGGTCGCGCTAGGTCAATTAAGGGTCGAGTTATAGAGCGGAAGGGAAATTCTCTGCGGTGAACCGAGCGGCGGCGGCTGGGGAGACATGAAACCATAGTATCCCCGCCGACTTCGTCGCGGGGGATACAATCAGGGATGAATTGCCCGATATGCCTTCTGAAATTCCTGAAGAAAACCCTGCATGGTGCACCATCACCTCATCAGAAGTGTCAAATACTTCAGCTAATACAAAAGGTGGGCTAGAAAGTAGAGTAAGAACGTACGAGACGTACGTAAGCGATAGAGACGTAGGATAACATGGAGATACAGGCACAACAAGGTGACACTCACCTGTGAGGCGTACTGTATGACAAGGTTGTGAAGCGTGCGTAGTCGCGCCGGGATTTCGTATCCCTGACTTGCAGATGCAGACATCACACTGGAGCCCATTGATTGCCCCACTGTTCAAACAGAGACACACACACTGTTAAAAACTAACTTAACGAGAAGTCACTAGGATCTGACAGCATAAGGTGTAGGATCAGTCGGTAAGTTTAAGTATATAGATATATTTAGTTACATAATTGCTCAATAGCAAGCATGAAACTGGCATTCCCTTACACACACGTATGCACGCGCACGCATGCACGCACACACACACACACTCACACACACAAACACCAACAATAATGTAACACACGTCTAAACACAGTGACAACAAATATTAAATAACATGTTTACATTACAAAAATAAAACAGGAAAGCATTGGCCCGTGGGCGAGTACGTGTGCCCCCCGCAGGAGCCACTTACTGTCTCCGCTCTCCTTCTCCTCCTCCTCCTCCTCAGGGAAGCCGAGGTCGAGCGGCTCCTCCTTCGCGGCGGTATCGCTCTTCGTCGCCTCCTCGCCGCCGCTGCCGCCGCCGCCGCCGTGCGCCGCGTCGCCGTCGAACGCCTTCATAGAGTTCATGAACTCGAGGTGCTTCTTCTCCTCCTCGAGTGCAGCGACGCTCTGCTCGCTGTGCTGCAGCCGCTGCTGCGTCGTCGCCAGCTCGTCGCGAAGCCACGCATTCTCCTGGCAGAGCCGGCGCACCTGCGCGCGCAGCTTCTGCTTCTCCGCCTCGACGGCCTGCAGGTGCTGCGCCAGCGCCATCATCACCTGCGGCGACGGAAACAAGTGAGCATGGACAGAAACTAGTGAGCACGCAGGTGCTGCGCCAGCGCCATCATCACCTGCGGCGACGGAAACAAGTGAGCATGGACAGAAACTAGTGAGCACGCAGGTGCTGCGCCAGCGCCATCATCACCTGCGGCGACGGAAACAAGTGAGCATGGACAGAAACAAGTGAGCGTGCAGATGCTGCGCCAGCGCCATCATCACCTGCGGCGACGGAAACAAGTGAGCATGGACAGAAACAAGTGAGCGTGCAGATGCTGCGCCAGCGCCATCATCACCTGCGGCGACGGAAACAAGTCGTGGCGTGCGTGCGTGCGTGTGTGTGCTTGTGCTTAGTGTGTATACTCAATATATGTGTATGTATATATATTTACCTCTCCGCCAAGGAGGTAATGTAATCGGTCTCGTGTGTGTGTTCGTGTGTGTGTGTTCGTGTGTGTGTTCGTGTGTGTGTGTAGCCACTAGTGTTCGCCGCGATCGATTCAGCAGCAGCTCGCCTTAGGGCGTCGAGTCAGCAGCAGCTCGCCTTAGGGCGTCCAGTCAGCAGCAGCTCGCCTTAGGGCGTCTGTGTGCCAGCAGCGAGCTAGCTATCACATACATGTACATGCTCGGAGGTATGCACTCTCCGTGAGTGCCTCTGTCGGTTCGCGTGTGTGGGTATGTGTGTGTGTGTGTGTGTGTGTGTGTGTGTGTGTGTGTGTTTGTGTGTGTGTGTGTGTGTGTGTGCTGTGTGTGTGTGTGTGTGTGTGTGTGTGTGTGTGTGTGCGTGCGTGTGTGTGTCCTGTGTGTGTGGGTTAGTGTC